CAATGATTATATGAAGAGGTGTTCAACATCGTATATCAAAAAGGAATTGCAAGTTAAAACAACAAGAGGGGCGCCTGGGTGGCTCAAGTCGTTAAGCGTCTGCCTTCGGCTCAGGTCATGATCCCAGGGTGCTGGGATCGAGCCCCGCATCGGGCTCCCTGCTCCACGGGAAGCCTGCTTCTCCCTCTCCCACTCCCACTCCCACTGCTTGTGTTCCCTCTCTCTCTGTCAAATAAATAAATAAAATCTTTAAAAACAACAACAGGATACCACTATACATCGCTATTCATCTATTAGAGTAGCCAAAATCCAAAACACTGAAAATGCGAAATGCTACTGAGTATGTGGAGCAACAGGAACTTGGTGGTGGGAATACAAAATAATACAGTGAGTTTGGAAGACAATTTAGCAGGGTTTTTTTTGCGTTTTGTTTTTGTCTGGTTTGTATTTTTTATAAAGCCTAAACATACTCTTACCATATGATCCAGCAATCATGCTCCTTGGTATTAACTCAAATGAGCTGAAAATTTAACATTCACACAAAAATCTGCACACTGTTTATAGCAGCTTTACTTATGATTGCCAAAACTTGGAAACAAACAAGATGTCTTTCAGTAAGTGAAGGGATAAATGGACTGTGGTACATCCAGACCGTAGAATATTATTCAGTGATGAAAAAGTAATGAGCTATTAAGCCACAAAAAGACATGGAGGAGACTTAACTGCATATTGCAAAATGAAAGAAGCCAATCTGAAACAGCTACATAGTGCATGATTCCAACTATGTGACATTCTTGGAAAGGCAAAACTATGGAGAAAATAATACCAGTTTCTAGGGATCAGAAGGTGGGAGGAAAGAATGACTAGATGAAGCACAGGGACAATGAAACTATGATACTGTAATGGTATATATATGTCATTATACATTTGTCAAAACCCATAGACTATACAACACAAAGTGTGAACCCTTCTGTAAATTTGGACTTTAGATAATCATAATCTTTCAATATTGGCTCATCAGTTCTGACAAAGGCACTATACTAATGCAAGGTGTTAACAATGGAGGAAACGGGGCAGAGGGGAGAGGGGTATCTGGGAACTCTGTATGTTCTGCTCATTTTTCTATAAACCTAAAACTGCCCTAAAAAAGAAAGATAGTCTATTATTTTACATATGTATACATATTTTTTTAACGTAAACTACACCCAGCGTGGGGCTTGAACTCACGACCCCAAGATCAAGAGTCTCATGGTCTACGGACTGAGCCAGCCAGCCGCCCTAATCTATTATTTAAAAACAAATAAAGAAAAAATAGAGAAGAGGCTATTTAATAAAAAGCCAAGTCCATGAGGAGGGAGTCGTAGTGAAGGAAGTGGTGTTTACACGTGTATATGTTAATCAAAACTCATTTAACCATACACTTAAGATCTATACATTTAACTGCATGTAAATTTTATCTCAATAAAAAATCAACTCTATATTATTATCTGTGCTTAATTTGGCTCTAGTCAACTAAATATATGATGCAACACTGAAAAATTTAAAGGAAGCAGGACTCAGCTATAAATAAGTGTTCTTGACCTTGAAGAGATGCTGCAGTGTTCTTGAGTGTCACGAATAGGTGGAGAATGGCTCTCTCAAATGTATTTCCTTGTGTAGCTAGTCTTCTTTCAGGTTAGTGAATATGTTGAGGGGAAAATTTTAGCTCCAGCTCTCATTCCTCTGTGGCTTTTTTCTGATGCCTCATTATATCTTTTCTTTTGGATTTAGTCAGAAGGGAATTGCCACCTCAGGTTTGAGCCCACACATGGCAGAAGACTTGATAGAGAAGCATTGGTGTGAACTTGAACTCTTGAAGGAAGTGAGGGGTCTGCTTAGGCAGAGAAATTGGTATTCACAGCAGCAGCAGTGGCCATGATTTACTGGTGAATGCTAGTGAACAAGAAAGAGGCAGAGCTGACCTGACTCAACAAGGGAAGGGTTGTATTCAGGATCCATGAGAGATAAGTACTTAAACATAAGAATGAGAAATGGATTCGTTTCAGTGGCTGTGATGGTTAATTTTATATTGGCCAGGCTATGGCGCCCAGTTGTTTGGTCAAACATGTTTAGAGTTTTTTTGTTCAATGACACTAGCAGTTAAATTAGTAGAGTTTTGAGTCAAACAGTTATTCTCTGTAATAATGTGGGCCTCGCCCAATCAGATGAGGGTCTTAAGAGAAAATGGCTGAGATTCCCCAAAGAGGAAGAAATTCTACCTCCAGGCTGCCTTTGCATCAAGACTGCAATATCGGGGTGCCTGGGTGGCTCATTCAATTGAATGTCTGACTCTTGATTTTGGCTCAGCTTGTAATTGCACTGTTGTGGGATCGAGCCCTGCATTGGACTCTGCACTCAGCATGGAGTCTGCCTGAGATTCTCTCTCTCCCTCTGGCTTTGCCCCTCCCTCCACTCGTGTTCTCTCTCTCTCTCAAAATTAATAAAATCTTAAAAAAACAAAACTGCAACATCAACTCTTGTTGGGCGCCATCCTGCTGGCCTGGCCCTGCGGATTTTGGACTTGTCAGCCTCCACAATTGCATGAGCCAATTCTTTAAAACCAATCTCTGTATATTCATATAGACGGTTGGTTCTGTTTCTCTGGAGAACCCAGACTAATACAATGTCTAATAGTCTGCTGCCAGCTCTGAATTCCTCTTGCCTTCTTCTGCCCTCAACCCGAATCCACTGCTAGCTAATTCTCAATTTGTGAAAAATAGAAAATTTACATTGAGATACTGTTTATGTGAAGTTGATAGGGTATTATATATCTTTTTAACAATGATAATGCCTTCGGGCTAAAAGGTTGGTGGATTGTACCATACGTAGGCATCTCATTATCCATACATCAGTATGTGTTTTCACTTATTTGAGTTTTGGTTGGAGTCTCTTTCTGGATGTCAGTGTCTGCCTGCTGCAGATAGGGGGCGCTGACACCAGCAGGCTAAGTCTTTGTGGTCTTGTAATAAATAGATCTTCTCAGTCCCTGGGTAGTACATTAAGAACCCAGGTCCGCTAGTTCCAGACATAGTCCACTGCTCTCAACCAGACATATCATGTGGTGATTCCCCCAAAACCCAAATACATACAAGCCTGCTTGCTGCTTGCAGGCACAGACTTCCCTACTGTCTCTTACACGGGCCTACTTTATACAACTGGGCTTCTCCCCTGGTTCCTTGTTTGCACTCTAGTAATCTGGTAGTTCTGGAACCATGCCACAAACCAAGACCAATTTGGCTGGGCTCTGATCCCCTGTCTAGTTTATGTTGGCTCCTATACCCCTGGGTATCTGACACCGCTCACCCCACTCTAAGTCTCGTTCAACCTGGATAAACTTCTCTCGAACTTTGATTTCTGGTTCTGCTTGACTGTGTCTGTTACCACCCCTCAGTGACCATCAATGCCGTGTCCTTACTGGATAAGACCTCCTGGTGGGTCCAACTTGAACTGGACCCAAGTTTTTCTTGCTTCAGTGGACACTGTGACAAGCATTTAGGGACCCACTATTGTTCCTGGGTTAGTGTATTGTGAATCTAGTCTCATTGGCTACAGTTTTTTCCCTGGTTCCTGCCGGTTAGCCTTTGGGGGCCCAACACACTTTATGTTTTGGCCTGTAAGGGTTATAATAGAGTAGTCCAATCATACCACGTGGAAGACAGGCAAATAAGGATATCTTAAGTAGAAAAGGAATATGATGAAAGTGGTATTTTGGGATAATTAATCTCTTAGTGTTATGCAGGACAGATTGGAAGCAAGGGAGACTGGCTAGCGTGTTAATCTATTAATTCGGAGATATGATGTTTAAGATTAGGCCTAGAGTAGTGAATATAAGAAGAAGTAAAGAATCTTAACACTTTATGCCAATAAAATGCTATTTGCATAAAGATGTTCACTGCAGAATAATTTAAAACAGGAAAAATTTGCAATGACCTAAATATCCAATAGCAGGGGAATGATTTAAGTAAATTTTGGTTGTAGCACACTTCATGAAATGCTATATAGCTAACTAAATAAGCTGTTAAGAAGGCTATTAATCAAAATGTAAAAGTGCCTATGTTGTAATAGGAAAAAAAAGCAGGATACTGGAAATGCAAACTGGTGTAGCCACTGTGAGAAACAGCATGGAGGTTCCTCAAAAAATTAATAGAATTACCATATGGTCCAGTAATTCCACTAGTAAGTATTTACCCAAAGAATACCAAAACACTAATTTGAAAAGATATTTGTACCCCTGTGTTTATTGCAGTATTATTTACAATAGCCAAATTACAGAAGCTGCCCAAGTGTCCACTGATAGATGAACCGATAAACATGTGGTATATATATGCAATGGAATATTACTCGGCCATAAAAAAGAATGAGATCTTGCCATTTGCAACGACATGGATGGATCTAGAGGATATAATGCTAAGTGAAATAAGTCAGAGGAAGACAGATACCATATAATTTTAATCATATGTGGAATTTAAGAAACAAAACAAACAAAAGAGACAAACCAAAAAACAGACTCTTAAATGTAGTAGAGCAAACTGATGGTTACCAGAGGGGAGGTGTCAGGGGGGGTTGAAGGAAATAGGTGAAGGAAATTAAAGAGTACCCTTATCTTAATGAGTAATGCACAGAAGTGTTGAATCACTATATTGTATACCTGAAACTAATAGAACACTGTATGTTAATTATACTGGAGTTAAAATTTTTAAAAGGGTTCAAAAGATGCACACAATTATTACAAAGTCTGTAAATATGCATAGAAAATATATACATAAGTTCTATGAAATGGTAACAATGATGGTGGTAGAGTTGGAATTATGTATGCTTTCATTTCTCTGTTTTCCAAATTTCTATAACATGGTTATATTAGTTTTAAAGATTCTATAATTTCAGCTTCCTGTTGAGACTAATTCTTTCTCTCATTTAAAGGATTATTTTAACAAATCTATTGGTGTTCTCATGTCTCCTAGGTCCTGGAAGGAGCCTTGAGTGAGTATAAGCCTAGCCATTTTGAGAAAGTCATTTCATTATCAAAAGCAGGTTGGGCCATTGATGAAAAATAAAAATAAAGAAGCAACAACAACAAAAATATCTTTTTCCAGACACTCCAAGGTAGACCTACTTACTGAAAATCTCTGCATTTATATTGATTATATTGATTTCTAGCATAGCTGGGCTCTGGTGCTCTTCTGGACGACCAGGTGGCCACAATTTGCTCACTTTCTCTTCCTCTTTGAGCCGTGATGGGAATTAGTGTTGAAATCAGTAAGCCTTAATGATTGTCTCACTGACATGGGGTTCAGCTGTGCTTTTTTGTCCTCCAATACTGTTCATTTTTACGTTGAGGCAGTGGTTGGTAAGATCATAGACTTTGAACTAAGGCAAATATGGGTTCTGATTCTAGGTCTTCTGCTCATAGCCGTATGACTGTGGGCAAGGTATGTAATCCTGCCAGGTCTTTGTTTGCTCAGGGGTGATATTACTTACCTTTAGGGACTGGAAGGTAGTTGAAGCAAGGGAAAGGAAGAGCTCTCCATAGAGCCATCACTCAGTTTTAGCAAGTTGCTGCTGAGGGAGAAGGGCTCTGGCCCCTGAGTGGATCCTGTAACTTCCACTCCCCCCTTTCAGGGGAGGTCAGGGCGGGGCTGTGCTTAAAGACCTTATGTCTTTTGACTCAATGGATTCTGAAATATCATCTGCATTAATGACTCTCCTGGGACATTTGGAAATCACTATGATCTAGTGCCCAGATACTCTTAGGCAGCTACAGAATTTATGGAGGATAATAATTTCCAGAGGAGGCTGGGAAGGTGGCACTCTTTGTACACCTTAATGGTGGCAAAGATGAACAGATAAGTGAGTAATCCAGAAATAACCTCTGAATTTATATATAATAGCTCTCTGAACTCCCCTCCTCTGAATGCTCCCTTTTGTGGTATTTATTGCTTTACCACCACCTCTTCCTGCTATGATCCTGAACCTCTATGAGCCCAGCTCCTGGTCAAATCTATGTAGGAGCTCAGGCTGCTCAAAACACCTATAGGACACCCTGTAGCATGACAAGAGACATTATAATACAAGGCCATAGTCAATAAGTACCAAATAGCGAGGGAAATGAGTCAGATGGGAGATGTCCCGGCTGTCCTTCTACCACTCTCCTCATCTGTCCTTGTCAGAGAGTCTGGGCCCTTTGTAATGACAAAGTCCATAATTCTGGGTACCTCCCATATTCAGTACCTCTGTTCATACGTTTCTACCTCAAATTTTAGCACCTGTTCTCTATTACACACCCCAAAGACTCACCCCAGCAATCTTATATGAAGCCCCAAACAAGTGATTGGTGAGGTTGATGTAGCCACAGCCTCTAAGAATAGTTCTAACTCTGGCCCAATGGGTGGGGCCCAGACTGAAAGATGGTTAAAGGATACTCATATACAACCCAGAGGGCAACTCCATTTCTTAGTCAAGAATACCCAGATGGGTAACTCTAGGTCTATCCTGTCTGATAGGAGGGACATTTTGGAAGAGATTAACCTGTCTGTATCCTTAAACTGGCCAGCTACTCCTAGCACATGAGTCCAATTCTCAATGTAGATGAATTCCTGCTCTGATACATTGTGCACAGCTTAGAATGCCAACTATTTATTTCAGGATTGCACTCTGCTTTGGGTAGATATTTCTAATGCCTTTGGCTCTTGATTCCTTGCTCCACCTCCTGTTTATGGGCATATACTTGTCCCTGTGATCTCATGCTTAATGTTGTCCTTGGGCATGGACTTTTAATTTCTCTTTACAATGACTTTGATTTACCCTTAGGATTACCTCTGCTTCTACCTCTTTGAATCAACATTTATGCCTGGTTGAACCCTTCCCTCATAACACCTGACATTACCTTCTCATGGCAGGTATTTTCACCCTAGCCCTGTTAATAGGAACCACATATAAGAAACTAACATATCAGTCTACCATCTACTATAAGGACTATAAATCTCTAGCAATTTTCACCCCTTTTACCCCACAAAACCCCAGTCTAGTAACACTCAGGGGAAAGGTTTATGGAGAACAGAGTCAGAAACCATGCAGGTATGAACACTTGAAGACTGACAGGGTACTGGGGCGCCTGGGTGGCTCAGTCGTTAAGCGTTTGCCTTCGGCTCCGATCATGATCCCAGGGTCCTGGGATCGAGCCCTGCATTGGGCTCCCTGCTCAGCAGAGAGCCTGCTTCTCCCCCTCCCACTCCCCCTGCTTGTGTTCCCTCTCTTGCTGTCATCTCTCTCTGTCAAATAAATAAAATCTTTAAAAAAAAATACTGACAGGGTACAGCAAAAAGAGGTGTGGCACGCAATTAGGAAGCTGTAAATAATACATTCATCTAACTATCTTGCTCATGGACTCTGATCTCTGCACTTTGTTACCTATGTCTCTTCTCTGTCTGTCTGTTCCTGACTCTAACCTGTTTCCTCTTGGCTGGATCCATTAACTTGCTGGCTGTTCTTGATTTACCTCTTCCACGTTTCATTTTGACAATAGCCCTTATTCTCTGTCTCTTACCTGTCCTCCATCCTGTCTCTCCAGTGTGGAATGATCAGGTCCTCCTCCACCAACTGCTACTCTTTTCCTTGTTTCAGGATCTAGTTCTAATTGAACACCTCACCAGAACTGACCAGAGCACCCCACTCCTGAGCACCCCAGCTCCATCCCATTGGCAATAGATCCTTTGAATAGGACTAATACCCCCTATGGGGAATTTAGAAGAAAAGTGGTTAAGTTATAGGAGGAGGGGATGAGGCAAAGAGGTAGTAGGAAGTGGGAAAGGGTGAAGCCAGGAAGAGCCATGGAGGGAGAGGAAGAATTGTAAGGTTATTCAGGTAATACTTGGGGGATGAAACATTTGAAAGAATGAAGACAAATGGTAAATGGAATTCTCTGAGAACAAAAGTAAAGTATGTGGAGGTGAGAGCTGAACATAGGAAAAGAAAATGGGTGTAATATTCAGAGGGGAGGTGTGTGGCAGGAGTGAGCACTGGGAAGGTGAGATACAGGGCCATTCCAAGATGAAATGATAAGGGTGGGCAACTAAAACATTAAGCAGATGGCTCCCATTAAAGGGCACGGTCATAGTTCTTATCTTGAAGAAAGGGATATTCTAAAGTTTATTTATTTTAGTAATTTCTACACCCAATGTGGGGCTCAAACTCACAACCCTGAGATCAAAAGTCACATGCTCTTCTGACTGAACTAGGCAGGTGCCCCAAGAAAGAGATATTCTAAAAGATGGCTTAAGTAAGTACAAAAATAACTATACAGCAAGGCAGACTGTTAACGACAACTAGAAAAGTACAAATAAAAGGTAAGGGGGTATAGAGGAAAGGATGCCATGGCAGTCAACACTTAGTGCTGTGCCTTGTATGGAATATATACTCAACAACACCATTTCAGGAGAAAAGCTGACACTGGAAGGGGTACACACGTGCTTTTGAAATTGCGTAGCTGATGTTTAATTTTCTACTAGTGTTTCTCAACAATGGATGCACATAAGAATCCCCTGGGAAACTTTTAGAATGACTGATATCCAGACTCCACATTCAGAGATTCTGAGTTAATGGATCTGGAGTAAGGCCTGGGCATTAGTATTTTTTTAAAGCTCCCAGATGATTCTAATGGTCAGCCAGGATGAGAAACCTCTGGTCTATGTGTATATTTTTTTTTCTTTTGAAAGATTAAGGGGCTTAGAATCAAAGGGTAGAGACACAAATTTGGGAAAGAGGAGGCACAGATTCTAGATTTAGCACTAATGCCCATTAATACATCTTGGGTAATTTCCTGTCAGGAGCGCCTGAGAGGCTCAGTTAGTTGAGTGTCTGACTCTTGATTTTGGCTCAGGTCATGATCTCAGGGTCATGAGATTGAGAACCCAGCATTGGGCTCAGGTGCTGCTCAGTACGGAGTCTGCTTGTCCCTCTCCCTCCCCCTCTGCCCCCACCTCGGGCTTGCTCATACATACCCTCTAGCTCTCTAAAATAAATAAATAAATCTTTAAAAAAAATGTTTTTCATCAATACAATTAAAAAGTGGTATATAAACTCAGGGTAATATATTGTTTCTGTCCCTTGTCTTTCTCAGGAGTTTGGAGAATTAAACTTGGGGATTTTTCAGTAGGAAGTTACTATGTAAATACATTTAAATACTATAATCAAAGGAAAATCATGTTTGTTTTTTTTTGTTTGTTTGTTTGTTTTTTACTTTTTAAAAATTGAGGTTGGGGCACCTGGGTGGCTCAGTTGGTTAAGCATCTGCCTTCGGTTCAGGTCATGATCCCAGGCTCCTGGGATCGAGTCCCACGTCAGGCTCCCTGCTCAGTGGGGAGTCTGCTTCTCCCTCTGCCCCTAACCCATGCTCGTGCTCTCTCTCTCTCTCACTTTGCCTCTCTCTCAAGTAAATAAATCTTTTAAAAAATGAGGTATAATTAGTTTCAGGTGTATCATGTTATTTTTGGTAACAAAAGTCTATTATGATTAAGAGTCCATTTATCATATTAATTTGTGCATTTTGACATCCATCATCTCATTTGTTTCTCTCAAAGTCTTTGCCGGTTAAGTATTATCTTTATTTTGCAAATGACTGACCTACAGTCACACCTCCTTATGTGACACAGCTACTCTCTATTTTTCTTTCTTCAGTCTTAGGTATCTTTCTAAATCTTTGTTGACATGGTATATTTTACAGTGAGTCAGTAGCATTGGTTTTAATGTGAAGAGTAAAAACTATAGCCCTATTCAACCAATTGCCTAACTGACAGGGTGATGGAATGGAAATAAAATATATTGTGGATAATTAAGTCAGGAGAAATTGGCATTTGCCATTGGCTGTTGCTAAGCAGATTAAAAAGACAAAAAACAGTAACAAACTACAATAAACTATTCAGGTTTTAGCATCATAACTGCTAAATAAATGTTGAAAGAATGAATAAGTGAATGGGTCAATTTTAAAATATTTATGGAAATGACCATAACGATACATAAAATCATCGAATACTTACATATGCCATGCACTATGTTTAGCCCTTTACAT